CCACTCGAAATATATTGGCCTTCACAAAGCAATGGAGGCAAAATTGAGAGTTCATGAGCTATGAACATTTGTTCTTTTCTTTGTCTTGAACTTTCCATACTCCACAGCCCCTATTAATTTTTTTTAATTTTAATTACCATGTGATGGTCATACATATCTTTAACTTGTATTTTCTGTCATGATGTATTATCTCAATGTGCCAAACTATTAATTAGTGTGCATATTTTGCTTCCAGATGACATAAATGTATTGTCATGTTTATTACCTCAGCTTGGAGTATTGACAAGAAAAAGGTGCCAGTAAATTAGGTAAAAAAATTTTCAACTCATTGTTATAATCAGAATTCACAATCAATAGGAATTATAAACAGCCAACAATCAGTGAGAATTATATGCGAAATCCCTCAGAATAAATTTGTCTAAAATCGGAGGAAGGCAAAAAATATAGGTAGTTTCCATCCACACAAGCATTTCAAGAAGACTTGCTCGAGCCAAACTAAATGAGCATCGTCAGGTGATCGGTAAGGCTGCAAGTTGAATTCAGCCCTGCAACCTCCTGCATAGAAGATAATATTAATTAGTGGGCTATGAGCTAAATTCCTAAATTTAAACAAACCTATCTACGATGCATTATGTACCAGCAATGTTACCTACGATTAACTGAATATGTAATATGTCTAATAAATTCACCTACAAAAGCAAGTTCGATAGGTGCAAACTTTGTGTTATGGAATTGTATCGCAGCACAGTTTTGTATGACACCCTCTTTAAATGAAATTTCAATGATTAAGCGCAAACATTAAAATTACTAACTTTGAACTTTGTCATTATCTGCAAAATGTTCCACACAAATCTTTCCGCTATCGCGTTTGTAATCTTCTCTGATAAAAAAAAACGTCTATGATGTCCAGAATTGCTCTTTACAGCTTGCCTGTTATTCCAGCTTTCCAAGTAAGCAAAACTTCTTAGATATAGAGATTATTTTGTTTCGTTACAGGCGCAAAAAGGCAGGTACTACACGTAAAAAAGACGCCGAGTAGCAAAAGCGAGCGGAAAACGGACGCGAAAGGCGACGAGAAATATGTGCATTGGAGCGTATCATGAAATATAATGTTTCGCCTGTAGTCTTATGGAGTGACGTCAGAGTTGCCTATCATGTTGTTTAATGTCATTGGTACTGGTAAGTTGCCATACCGGTACTGTAACGCAGTGAAATTGACTTATTCCTTCCGCGGTATTACTAATGCTGCAATGCAAGTTTTATAGCCTATCGTATGCGGAACGGAATATCAGACCTACAGGTTCGGTACCGGTACTGGTAGCTCAGTACGTAAGTACGATACTGGTACTGGTGCCGGTACCGGTGTCTTACCACAATGAAATTACCGTAACTTATTCTTTCACGGTCCTACCAGTGCAGTAATGCAAGCGTTGTAGCACTTGTAGCCTACTATATTTGTTTATTTTGATGAGAGTCTACTGGAAACAACATAAAATTTGAAAGGGAAGAATTGTTCTGTGATCAATTATCTGTCCTAAAGTGTAAACAACATAAAATTTGCAAGGGAACAACTGTTCTGTGATCAATTACCGTATATGGCCTACAGTGTACAGGTAAGATGCTGGCTGACTGCTAACCGGTACTGGTAGCTCAGTACGTAAGTACGATACTGGTACCGTACTGGTGCCGGTACCGGTGTCTTACCACAATGAAATTACCGTAACTTATTCTTTCACGGTTCTACCAGTGCAGTAATGCAAGCGTTGTAGCACTTGTAGCCTACTATATTTGTTTATTTTGATGAGAGTCTACTGGAAACAACATAAAATTTGAAAGGGAAGAATTGTTCTGTGATCAATTATCTGTCCTAAAGTGTAAACAACATAAAATTTGCAAGGGAACAACTGTTCTGTGATCAATTACCGTATATGGCCTACAGTGTACAGGTAAGATGCTGCCTGACTGCTAACTCAGTACCGCTTGACACGTTTTTAAAAAGTCGCTTTTCTCTTCGAATACTGGACCAGTTGCTTTGAAATTTTTAGTGGTTAAAGATAAAAATTTTCTCCAGAAGGCTATTACTTTTTTTTTCGCTATGACGTCATCAAAATTATGTGACTCTACGTGTCCATATATTTGAGCATAGCTCTCTTGTTAAATATGAAACACTAATAGATTCCAGCGTACCATACCTGATTTGTCTGGTTTTTTTTTTTCAATTTGCGTAAGTCGTGGATGAATAATATGGGCAATATCAGTCAAAAGCGAATGAATATTCACGACTGCAGAAAATCGACCAAGGTGGCTTATCGGAATGCATGTATGTTTATTCGTCTCGTAAAAGCTAAAACACAGGAGTTAGGAAATATCAACATTGAAGACGGGATGTATACACAAGACCATACTGGCCTAAAACACATGAAAGTGCGGCATACACCCCTTATGATATGCATAAAATGCAATAAATCAAATAGGTATAATATGGTCATTCATACTGACAGTTGTGCGAGGAGGGTGGATTAGGCAACATGGGTAAGGGTGGAGACTGTGGAGTATGCCCAAAGGAGTTGGTAGGACAAGACAACATGAAATATAATCGCTATCCTATTCAGATGTATTGGTTCTATTTTATCGCCTGACTCATCATTTTGCGTGACGATCTCAATATTATGCATGACCTAGATCAGTGCTCCGCAACCGGTGTGCCGCGAGACGATGCCAGGTGTGCCGCACAAGAATTGCAACTTTTCTCTTCTTTTTACAAATTATTTTTTATCTTTTGTTAATTTTGCGTTAGTCTACCACTCCACTCTACTAACGTAAATTTAACCTGCTTTTACGTTAGCTTGAGCGACACCAATTCAAATTCCTGACACCCCCCACTGTGCATTTGTGACGTAACAAGGAGCCTATATGACAAGCAGGTATATTGTAAATCCTATTGCTAAAACATAGCACGTTTAGTAATCAAATATAAATAAAGTGCGAGTTTGCAGAATCAGTGCCCAGTTGTCTTTGATTAAAAATGTCGAGGAACGCTAAAGCTTAGCAAAATAGATAAATCTTCAAAAAGAAAAGCTGATACTGAGCAACATATTGTACCTAGCACAAGCAACGTTGGAAAAAAAATTGTCAAAAGGAAATACAGGGAAGATTAAGTCAAATATGAATCAAATGAAGCAATGTTTTTGAGTAGACTTATGCGCCACTTATATACGGAATATGCCGTTCATGCACGCTGGAATATAAATTATTTCCAGCTGGTGTTAAGTCAAAATAAGAAGCAGGAGTGCTCTGTGAAGTCGTCTTTTACAGTCTCCGAAAGAACATTAGAAACCAGTTATCGTGTTGCAATATTGATTGCGCGTCACGTAATGATCCTAATATAGAGCGATTGTGCTCATTAAAACAACCACAATTCTCTCATTGTTATATGAACATAAAACAAAGTTACATCTTGTATTTTTCCCTTGTTGTGATGTGCCGTCAAATTTGGCAAGTTTTATAAGCGTGCCGCAAGTTAAAAAAGGTTGCGGAGCACTGGCCTAAATCTGTAGTACCCGAGCTATATATATAGATAGAACTTAGAGTGCGATTCGCTCTCGTTTTGCGGGACCGACTGAAGACGTTGGTGAAAGCTCTCCCGTGCAGGTTTATGCCAATTGTTTTTGTATCGACTGCAAAAATCACAGTACACGTATAGAGAAAAAGTCGATTTACGAGAATGTGGATTTCGGAAGCAATTCAGAAGACAGTGAATAAGATATTAAAGTCAATTTAATAAATATTATTTATTAGTTTTTTTTTCAGACATCTGTTAGTGTCGTAATCCTGTTTCTAGAAAAAATAATATTGCTTTTGTTTCAAATACACAACCACATAAAATAAAAAAAGACTTATAATATTTCTGTTCACTATGTTATGTACATGCTGTATTCATTTGATTTTTTTCTTGAAGTGAGAAATAACTAATTTATTTGTGTTTTTGTGATCACGATGTTAATTTGTGACTTCAGTGCTTAAAAATAAATGCGTCTCATAGCTTCTATACAATGAATGCAACTTCTTATGCTGTTCTTTGTTGTAAACTGCCTGTCTGCTTCTGGTCAGAGAGGACGTTACAGAAATACATTTGAGTTAGTGTTTAGTGGGGCTCTTGAATTGCATAGTTCTTATGCTGTGTTGTTTTAAACCTATGATCATTCATTTTCTGGGAACGCCCTTATATTCAATTTCGCATAATGATTGTGGAACAAGCTGTAATGCGTTCAGTATGTTCATTTTCATACAAAACTGGAGAATTTATTTAGTTATCAGATGTGCGCTATGAACTCATTTCCTGGGCGTTGCTCAAGGCCTCTTCTCATGGCCTATACCCATAAGGATATTTATCCCGGGGGAGAGAAAAACCAATATGACGGCTTAACCACATGGCGAACCACGGCCTCTCGTTCGGTTACCATTCCAAGTCGGGTATGGGATTAGTTAGTTGTTTGTTTTCGGAAGCATGGACTTGATGATGGGGGAAGCCCTAACCGACCAGCGGTTACGTGAACCACCCTACGGCGGCGAGGAGTCCAGCAATCCTCCCGCACATAACCATCATCGCAGGATTCGAACCTGCGAATCTAATCAGAGGTGCGGTGTCGAGCGTATTCCTAACGCTCAGCACGATGAGCCACACCGCCGCGCCGATCCATGATAGAGATCTACAAGTGTTTAATAACTTACTTATATTTTTTAACACCGTCTTGGCATAACTCAACTAATACAAACTAAAAAAGACGATGGAAAGGCTACCCAACCCAACGCAACATCGAGCCGTAATAACTGAGATTCATCCGCCTGCTAACAGCTGATCAAATTTTAATTGTTACGTCATACAGAAGTCCGCTTTCATTGGCCAATGTTGCCGTAAAAGCAGACAATATGGGAAAGATCGTAGCACATATTTCTTGTAGTAAACGCAGAACCATTATATAATGGCTCTGGTAAAAGCGTCTTTTTTGTAAAACGTGCAACTTTTGGAAATGGAAACAAGGTATTATTAGTTACTAAATTTCTAAGGAGGAACATTTTAGAATTATTTTTAGGTAGTTTCTTTATGTGCACTACGAAACTCACTTTCTAGGCTTTTTTTCAGGGCCTTGTCGCACGGCCTATCAATTAATAATGTTTACTTCAAACGGGTTTCATATCAGTAACCATCGATGCATCAAATAGGAAAGATATAAGGTTTATGTTCGCTATATTTTGCCCGGTATGTTAGTCGTTGATCTTGCCAATTAAATATTTGCAGTTTCAGATACGTACGGCCAGTATGGTCTTGTGTATACATCCCGTCTTCAATGTTGATATTTACTAACTCCTGTGTTTTTGCTTTTACGAGGCGAATAAACATACATACATACAAATAAAAACCGATCAGAAATGTTTTGGGGTCAAAGGTAGACAGCAAGATTCTTAATTTCGATGTTTCCATTGGTTACCGGTATGGTATAAGTATAAGTTTATTTCGACTCCATAATCAGCAAAACAATAAAATGAATGCTAAAAATAAATAAATAAAAACTGATTATGAAATCAGGAGAGCAAACAAAACCTTAGATAAGGTTTAAAACGTACAGAATGTATATAAGATGGAAGGTTTTGCCAAGAAGATGTGGTACGTGTTCACTCACCTAAAATAATTGAAATATTTCACACACGCTCACACGCACCCACACACACAACCATATAGAAGTTATAAAGTAAAGGGAACATGAAAAATTACATACTGGTAGTTAATAAAAAATAAATAAATAAAAATTACTTGCCACACCATATTAATAAATTTATCATGATTGCCACTGCCAAATTGATCAATTTTATAAATGGGAGTGAACAGTAAAGATAAACTTTTATAAAAAAATATATTGTCAAGCTGATTATAGATGGAGTCAAATGCCAAAATGCCCAACCAAAGTTGCCAGAATTGGGTGCATGAAGAGGTGGGCTAGACCACTTCATTGCCCAAACTAGAGCCTATTATTGCCAAATTGTAGTCCAGATTGCAATAAGTATTTAAATCTATCAGTAACTTTATAAGTATGAGTAATTATAATTAATTAAGGTAGAAAGACAGGGTATAGGAATATGTTGGTTGCTAAGGTTATAAGGTTTTTTTTTTTCATTCTTAGATATTGACTTCTGCAAGGATAAAGGAATTAGGAATATAGGAATTAGTATTGTTATTTCACAGGATCATTTCTTCATTTAATTATTATGGCGTAATAGGTTCAAGTTTATCGTGGATGAGACATCAGCCTGCGAATTTTGTTGTTGTAGACACCATTTATTTTGTTGTTGTAGACACCAAGCGTAACGGTAGGCCTATAATAACTATAAATTTATAGAGTACAGTATATATAACCTGTATACCGATATTGTTATATTCAGTTTGTTTATTTATTGCTGCGAACGTCAGAAAATGGAACATTACCACATTCTCGGTAGAATTGGAGAAGGTGCACACGGTATAGTTTATAAGGCGAAACATATACAAGTAAGTTGTCTCAATCAATCAATTTTATTCGGTCACTCTGATACAAACAAAACACAAAACAACAACAAAGGGACAAACAAAATACAGAGGACCTGGAGGACGGGCCCAAAAACAGAATAAAACAAAAACACGATGTAACATCGGGCAACAACTTATAAATTCAAATTAAAATGTGAGACGTGTATGTGCTTTTCCTATACAGATATATGGATTAAAACACTCGCTGACGAAAAATGGTGATGTTGTGGGCCTACTTCAACTATATTGCAAAAATAACACAGTGACAAATTTTTTTTTACTAAAAAACAAGCTTGGTAAATGGATTGGATGTTCCATAGCAGTCTATGCACGAATCATGGATTGGGGTATTGGGTTCTTTTGTCGTTTTCGGTTGGTTCACTTTAAAATCATTGTATCCGTTCCAATGCTTCCAACATTAATATCGAATTTCCACGCACGACCACCATTCAGCCATTCCAACAGGTGCAGTGATCCCATCTTTTCTACGCTCTGTTCCATCATACACGACTAGATTCATAAAAAGATCGAAACCTCGCAATATACCCGTAACAAATCGTCCACCATTCAACTTTAAATCCAATCTTTTATCCATAAACTTCTTTAATTATAGTGGATGGGCTTTGCTCATGTTGATAATGCGCGATACAGAATGTCTGTAGTGAATCACGTGATCATTCGCCGAAATAATTTTACATACCTCCGTGTGATCATATGACCGTCAATTGCACGTTCGCACTATTTTAATGTTACATTCGTTTTCAAGGTAACATACAACATATTGCTGCATTGACACCTTTGTCATCCCAAATAAATTTATGAAGATATTTTATACAGGCGCGGCGGTGTGGCTCAACGGGCTAAGCGTTAGGAATACGCTCGCCACCGCACCTCTAATTACTCTGCGTGGGTTCGCAGGTTCGAATCCCATGCAGGGATGGTTATGTGCGAGAGGATTGCTGGACTCCTCGCCGTCGTTGGGTGGTTCACGTAACCTTCCTCCACCACCAAGTCCATGCTTCCGAAAACAAACAATACAGTAAAACTAATCCCATACCCGACTTGGAATGGTAACCGGACGAGAGGCCAGGGTTCGTCATATGGATAAGCCGTCTTATCGGTTTCCTCTCCCCCGGGATAAATATGTAAATCCTATCCTATACAACTAGTTATTTTACTTTGATTTTGTCCTTTCAGAGTGGGGAAGTTGTAGCATTAAAAAAGGTTCCCTTGCGAAAAATAGAAGATGGTATTCCAAATCAAGGTTTGAGAGAAATTAAAGCTTTGCAGGAAATTGGTGGAGATTCTGAAGAATCTCAAAATGTGAGATTATAACTATGATGCTAACATTTTTGTAATGTCTTATCTCAATTATTTGAGTCTCAACATACATCATTTTATTCTTTTTCATAGGTTGTCAAGTTATACGATGTGTTTCCCCATGGAACTGGATTTGTCTTGGTGTTTGAATACATGCTTTCAGATTTGTCTGAAGTAATTCGAAACTCTGAACGACCCCTGACAGAAGGTCAAATAAAAAGTTACATGATGATGCTGTTGAAAGGAGTTGCATTTTGTCATAAAAGCAACATAATGCATCGCGTGAGTAAACTATTGATCATTGAAAATTTATTAGATCATTTCAGGAGGTTTTTCCATATATTCTAGTTATTACTCCCTTGGTGTGGTGGTATTTTTACTTCAACATACTTTGCTTCATATTTTATCGCGCGTTCCAAGCACTATCTCCTTCTTATCCGATTAAAAACACTACTACACTAAAGAAAAAATAGTCAAAACAATTTACAATATAGGATTTGAAACCAGCTAATCTACTGATAAGTTCAACGGGTCATTTGAAGATTGCTGATTTTGGATTAGCAAGAGTTTATCAAAATCAAGATTCTGACAGACAATATAGCCATCAAGTTGCAACAAGGTATATTTTTAGACAGTTAAAAAAGTTTTTATTACTATTGTCAGTCATGTGCCACAAAAGTATGTCATAAAAGTACTAAGTTCATAGAATAATGGATTCTATCACTGATACTGCCATTTAATTTTTAAATATAAGTGATACTCTAGCGTAAATACAGATAATCACATCCCGTATTAAACTTTGTTCTCTATGTCTACTACCACCACAATTTTAGTATCTTAATGGTTTGCCGTTTAATGTTAAGATGGTACAGAGCCCCAGAGTTATTGTACGGCGCAAGAAAATATGATGAAGGTGTTGATTTATGGGCTGTTGGTTGTATTTTTGGTGAGATGTTGAACAATTCACCATTATTTCCAGTAAGTATTTCATTACTATTTGTTGATGTCTAATATGTGTATTACAAAAAAGTAACGATTGAAAATGATATTGGTCACCAATTACCATAAAGCACAGCTATTGTTGTAAATTAATCATATCGTTTGGCAGATGATTCTGACTGCTGTCATATTGCTATTTTACAGGGTGAAAATGACATTGAACAGTTGTGTTGTGTGCTGAGAGTTCTAGGAACACCAAATGAAAGTATTTGGCCCGGGATGTCATCATTGCCAGACTACAATAAAATTACATTTCCAGACAATCCACCAATACCACTTGAAGAAATTGTACCAGATGCATCTTCAGAGGCACTCAACTTGTTGAAAAAGTTTCTTGTTTATCCTTCTAAGGAGGTCAGTCTAAGCATATAGTGTCCACAAATCTCATTCAATACATCTGATGCCATTCACCTAAGGAAAATTAACTACGGTGTTCAATGCATTTGACAAATAGTAGGTGATATTGCTAATTTAAAGTCTGTCTGTGGCTAACATAAATTTTTTTCCCAAATCTTTTTAATTTATAGAGTTGAAAACATTCTTTTATTATTTTAGAGGATAGCTGCCAAAGAAGCACTACTTCATCCATACTTTTTCACCGAACCTCTACCAGCTCATCACTCAGAATTGCCAATCCCACAACGAGTAAAGAAGTCAAGGCATCACTCAAAAGAATATGATATTGATATACCACTGGAACAAAGTTGCATAGACCCCAACCTAATAGACACATATTTCACATGACTTATGGCAGAATCATGTGCGGAAGAAAAAGATTTGACTACATCTGCACAGTTCTATGTACTGGGTCGATGTCTGTCACATTGATGTTCCATAAAAAACAGTTTTCTGGCCTTGTGCCTTTGATCGATCATTGGATTGGGTAATCCAAATTTATGAAACTAGTACACAGTCAAGAAGCTGCTACTTAAAATCTTTTCTTGTCATTGAGTTTGATACTGTACCACTGTGATATCATATAAATTTTATTAAAGATTTTAACAAAATACCCGAAAAAATATCTGGCTTTGTAAAGAAAACACTCAGAACAAGTCTGGAGGTCATGAGAAAAAAAGAAACAAAGTCTATGTGACCAGGAAATAGCTCTCAAAAATAAAGAATAGCAGTATCAAATTGAATGAACACTACACTACCAGTGGTGGGATTCAATATTTTTGTCAGCCGGTTCCATTACAAAAGTCATTGAGAGAAACCAGTAATGCTAACAGGTTCGCTGATCTCATAAAATTCCGTGAGTCGGTTCTATAGAACCGGTGCAAACTGACTGAATTCCACCACGGAACACTACCATGTTCATATACATAAATTAGAGTTCAAAGGTTTTGCGCTTTTTTGAAAACATGTCTTGACTTGCAGTCCAGTCAACATTAAAATCTGAAAAATCGTTTTCCTTATCAATTCCCCAGTCTTCAAAATCATCTTCAATCCTAAACAAAGAAGCAGCTGAAGTTTCGTTTGGTAGATCATTAGACTTGGTTCCATTTTCACAATTCCCTGTTTTGACTGCGTTTACACTTTTAACAGTTGGGTTGCTGGCTGTTGAAACTACGTTGATTGCCTGACTTTGCTTAATGACATGTTGTGATTCTCTCAAACCTTGCAGAAATTCTGTATGTGACGGTTTCTCGTTGAAGGCAAGCTCATCACAAATATCTTCAACAGCTGATGCACTTAAAGAAAATATGGATGACTTGTTTCCGCCTAATACCGGTAATGTGTCATTGCTCTTGTCTATAATATGCGATGTTGATTTAGAGGATACACCATTAATTTCATTCAAAAACATGTCATCCGTGATTTCCTCAAAGTTGAAATTAATATTTGATGAAGAACTTGGCATTTCACGAACTTGGCATTTTTTTGATTCCACCGATTTTTCAATGATGTTAGGTTTTTCACTATTATTCCCTGATTTTGGACAGTGTTTACGTTTGCCTCGTCTAATCATACCACTCAAAGGGAAATCAATTTCTGGAGAAGGTGGAGATTGTCGCCTAAAGCAATTTAATCTATCCCGGATGGCATTTCTTTGAAACTCTTCACCAAGGTCACTGCAACTAACGGGAGAATAAGTCGGGCTTGCAGCAGGAGACTTTGGGTTACGGTTCTCATTGCAAATGTCCTTGTGAGGTTCGTCTTGTTGTAAACAGCCATGTGTAATTTCTTCATGATTTTCAATGATTCTTTTTTGAGGACTATTGGTGATAGAACTCATTGGCAACTGATGTTGCCTTTGTATCGTTGAACTTGCTTGAGGTACCAATACAGAACTTTCACAGTTGAAAGATTCTGCAAAATGAGACATATTGCCAGAAAACCGAGTGTTTTGTGTTGATGTTTTAAAATTCAGAAGTTTATCCTGACTGCTATTTGCCCCATCTTGAAATATGTTCTCAAAACAAACACTCTGTTCAAAATCTTCAAATGTAAAGTCTTTATTGCTCCTTTTTGAACTTGTATATATCCTTGGAGTGGATACTTTACTGCTTGAGGTAGATGTTTTTTGAGGAAAGTCTGTGAACACCTTGGGCTCAAATGGGGACGCAGGAGGAAGCAGTGTATTATTGTGGCTTTGTCTCGAATTAGTGGCTTTAACATCACTCATTTCTTCTTCAAGGATGTCATTTAAGCCCAATCTGTTCAATACAAGCTGTGCATGCTTTTTATATTCGTTCTCCGGGTTTGTGGGGAAACAAGAGTGCAACACACTACCTGTTGGAAGCAGTGAAGCGCCTTGCATTGATGACTCCAGGATTGTGATTGCTGCCACAGCATCGAGGACCTCAACTGTTTGTCTATACATCAGTCTGGCATGTGCTTCTGCTATTCTGATTAGGCTTTCAAGTAATCGAATTGTAGTGCGTGCTGCATTTCTGGTATCAGAACGTCGATGACAACGATAGTATTCTGATAATATTCTGTTTGCTGATGGTGATAATACAGGATTAATTTGTTTCACAACACAAAAATATGCTTGCATTTGTTCCATACTCCATAATCTCTGTCTACCTTGATTGTTATTTGTCACATCTTTGCCAGTTAAAACATAATCTGCAACAACAGAATCCCATCGTTCATTTTTGCCATCAAGCAGCACCAAAACTATATCAAATCTACTCAACAGAGGGCTAGCAATTGCAACGTTCAGATCAATGCTTGAAGATTCATCATATTTACCTAATTTTGGATTCGTTGCCGCAAGAACACTTGTTCTTGTATTGAGTTTACAAACAAGACCAGCTTTAGCAACACTTACAGTTTGTTGTTCCATTGCCTCATGAATTGCACCTCTGTCATTTTCTTTTATGCTTGAGAATTCATCAATGCAACAAATGCCACCATCCGCTAGTACAAGAGCACCAGCTTCCAATGTCCAATGTGGGCCATCCCGAATGGCAGTTACAGTTAAACCAGCACTTGTGGAACCTATTCCAGTGGTTAGAACAGACCTTGGGGTAATTTTTGAAGCATACTTGAGAAACTGAGATTTCCCAGTACCAGGGTCACCAACAAGAAGCAGATGAGCTTCTCCTCGAACTCGTGAACCAGATGAATCTGTTCTAGGTACACCACCAGCCAAAACCAATGCGACTGCCAATTTGACAACATACAATCCATAGATCTGCGGACAAAGACTTGCCAGAATGTGATTGCGTGCAGTCATTGGATTTTCAGCATGAACAGCCCAGAAACATTCGAAATCATTTTGCATTTCTTCTTTGACAGAAGCACCTAAACGCTGCTCGTTTCGTACTTCAATATAATTCGCTTTTAAAACAAGTTCAATGTTACACGTTTTACCCTTTTGTAATTGCTGCCATCTACATTTTAACGCACCGTAAATGATAACATCATCACCAGCCTTACATCCATCAACTAAATCATCTTCTAATACAACAGTTATTGTTCTTGGAATTGTCCCCATTGCAAGTCGCCTCATTTGTTCTTGGATTTTTATTTCCTGAAAATCTTTGCATTTTCTTCCACTAGTAGCACTCTCGCCAGGAGACACGATAAATTTCTTAGAAGTGCACATATGGGTTACTGGACATCTTGATGGAGTTGGTATACTGTAATGTTGCTCAAACTCTGCCTTTAAAATGAATGTATTTTGGCATTTTGCACAAATCAATTCTTTTTCATACTCGAGTAATTTAACTGAACTTGTTCTTATTACAGTGCCTTCTACTGCCAGAAATTTGCCAATGTCTTTGGATTTCGGAACATGCTCTCTCCACAGTTCTGGACAGACTGGAATATTTTTTATTCTAGCATGTAAATTAGGTTTCAAGCTCATTTGAAGCTTTAATGCATGGGATTGATAAATCTCACAGCATATATTAGCAAGCGCTGCGTCAAGAACTCTTATCGCTTTATCGGAGTAGAAGAAAAGAATGTCTGCTAGTGTCATGTCAACTTTTAGAATTGCAGTGCAATCCGCCACAATTGAATAATGCATATTGACATCCTCATCCAGCAGGATTTGAATGATTTCAGGCATGCTATTCTCCATGATATATGCTTTATATATTCGAGATATTGCATGTTGAACTTTATGATCCAGAAATTCTTTCTCATTCTGTCCTAATAAATCATAAACAGTCTCATTATTTGAATCCATATTTCAGTATTTACGATATACTTATAGAGTCTAATTAAGTTCACTATTAGAGTTCTGTATGTCAGAAATTAGAGAATTAATAATTTCAATGTAGTCTACAGTTGTACAATTGCTTTTCGACTAGGCCTACACCTACCATTTCAGAATTTTTCACTGTATTTACTCTCTTGTCAGCTTGTATAAATACTGAAATAATGGAACAGGCTAAAAAAATGAGAAGCCAGGGTACGGTACCGGTACCGGTACAGTATATGATATGCTCAAAATCAGCTCACATGGTAAAATATGCTTGAACTTTATCTGTTTATAGTCTGAATTGCTAATTTGCTCTGCTTATTTCAGCATTTGGTACAAAGTCCGAACTACATTTAAGTTGTGGACCTTAAATGACAGGATGATGAAATGCCAGACAACTGAAAAATGTCCAGAATCACAAAATCATATCATTCAAACTGAATAAACTACAGCATGGTACGGTACCAATCTGAGGTCAACCGAATTTGGAGAAAAACTTCGGCACCAAGACAAATTGAGAATTTGGAAACTCTCTCTTTTTCCCCGTAGCTGTGGAAAAATGGCGGACAACAGCGCATCCCGACTTTTCATGAACCAACAGTTAGGGTATGGTAGACTAATTGACCAAGGACTTAAGAACTTGACTACGGGTACCGTAAAAGCGCCTAACTTCGGACAAAATTACTATATTTTCGTCAATAACTCGGCCATTTATTGTCCAAACGGTGCCAAAATTGCTCGGTAAAACATTCGTGCGGTAATTCACATTCCCTGCAAATTTCGGTTCAATTGGACTATTTTTACTATTAAAATAATCGATATTTCTTGCCATCTGACCGTTATCCTTCACTGCCCTAACTTCGGACAGTCATTTTCTTCACTGCGTAACCGCGACGCACAGAGAGAAAGAGGCTTCAGATGCGGATGACGTAATCACGTCGTTGCGTGAAGATAAGACGCTCGATCGTCGTCGTAACGTAACATTGACGTCACGACGAAAAGGCATTATTTGAAACTTCCGTTGTCCTATGTTTACATCTTTCGTTCGTTATTTTCGATACTTCAGATGAGTATAATAACACGTTAGTCATTTTAATCAGGAAATGCAAACGTAAATATATCTGATGCAAACCGTTTCAATCCACAATGAAGTATTTTAACGGGCTTCTATCGAAGTCTTTGAAGTATTAATATTCTCGACGGATAGCTTTTTTTTATTCTGCGCGGTTATCTTTATAAATGATAATTTATATCAAACACACGGTAAATCCGATTGTAAAGTTTAATTTAAAATTCAACTTAATCTTGTAAACATGTAGGTCCCGTTTATTTGTTGGAGATTAAATTTATTTTTAATTTCGAGTGAATAAAATTCACCCAGGCCGTATTCAATAACTGTCATTTCGACTACTAATCATAAAATAATGGTTTAGTCAGTGCACTGTGCCATATGGACGTTGGAAATATCATAGTTTTCATATATTCGATTTTTAACGTCATCGATTAAGTGTGACATGTATTTTCATTAATGTAATTTTGGCATATATTCATACATGACCGAACAAAATACAAAAATATTACATTGGAACGCCGTCTTTATCTTAACGGAATTTGTCATATTGGCTCCGTTGTGTCTGGCGTCAAAATTCATTTCCGCGACGCAGTGTGACGTCGTGTCGGAAGTGAGCGAAAAATAATCTACGTGAGGTTGACGCAATTTTTGACACTGCGTTAAATCTTAATATTCTGACGGAATTTATAATTCAGAATTTTAGGTTTTATTTAAATCTCGTACGACATCTTGCGATCACTCAAATAAATTATATACATTGTTGTCGCCCTCTACCGAATGATGGTATTTTGACGATGATAGCTTCAGTAGGAGCGACGCTCTGCGCCGTTGAATGCCGGGCAGTCAATTTTCGGCAAAATTTCCGTTTTTTTACCAAAAACATAATTATTCAACATTAAAAAAGATGAGAATAGATATAGATATAACAGCGCAACCTATAATAATTAAAATTAGCAATATACAGCGCGTTTTAGCCAAGATATGGCCGTTCAAAAATTTTGTCCGAAGTTAGGAACTGTCCGAAGTTAGGCGCTTTTACGGTACCGTACCACGGTTAACTTTAATTTGTGTTTCTGTTACGTTACCCCATCTTTGCTCCACCTTCCATCTCCCAGGCGAAAAACAAACGCATACCGGTACCGGTACTTATCTGCACATTTTGAAAGTCGCGCGCTAGTTATTTGGGGCTCGAGCAACGCGGCCAGATCATATCTATCTGTAAGCACATTAGTCGAGGTGCCAAGACGAATTTTGGGGAGAGTGAGTTAAGTACTGAAGTAATATTGAAAACACATTTACAAACCAGCATAGCATTGTTATTCACAGGTGAAGGGAGTTGCAGAAAACCTTAAAAGGTTATCTAGCTGCTGCTATTAAAGTATGAACACTAAACAATGTGAACAATTACAATATGAACAGTAAAAACTACTATACATTAATCAATTGTTTATAGTGAGGCATTGTTTTTATATTTTGAATGTAACAAGGCTGTTGTTCGAATTAGGGACAACTAGTGACAAAAAGTTTTATTATACAAGGTCCGAATTTGAACGAAATAATTTTTTATTCTTCATCACCTTCAAGTTCTAAATTCTAAAACATGGAAATTTGATCAATAATTAATATACCACACTGATACTACAGCACAACCTGAATATACAGGAAATAACACATGACCCTTTTTCATCTTTCCGTAGCCATTGAGGAATTTAATTTTTAATCTTTCGTCGGTATGTTAGTCGTTGTCTTTCGCTGAATGTTGCATATGATTTTCAAAAGCGATTCATAAATTTGGCAATTCCAGAGACGAGTGTTATACTCGAATAAATACGATCTATTTACATTTTCATTTATTTTATATTCAACTAAAATCACTCATTGAGTTGATCATTTGAAAAAATATATAAACAGTAGTTGCCTCAAGCCAAATGCTTCAAGCAATGTATATAAATACTCATTGCTTCAAGCTACGTGTAGATCATCTCGCCGCGTACTTGACTCGCAAATAGTCGCAATAGCTGGGCAGTAGGCTATAGTTTGCGAGCATTGTCAATTAATATTATAATTACCATTAGCAATATTCTATTCAAATTTCCACAGCCTATATCTGTTAAAATTATATGATTGATATGGCTTGACATTCATTTAATGACGTGTTATTGTTTTGTGTAGGTCCTCTAAGGATATTAGCCTCATGGGACGGAGGTTGTTTAATGTCATTGGTGTGACTAATATTTTTTCATAATAATTGTTTTTTTTAATATCCGTGCATATAATTTACCGACATAAATTTGGGCCGAGTCTATGTGTGCATTCGACCACTTCATCATTTTGTCCTCCCTTTCTTTGTCAGTGTATTTCACATGATAAATTGAATAGTTCATTACTGGTTTAATATAAGCGTATTGAAAATACATCGTATAAAAGTTCAATACATTTGCATATTTTTGCCCAAGCCTCGTCAACCTAGGTTTGAGTTTTCTGCTTCACTCGCTCGCTCTCCAGAATTCTTCATTTCTAACTTGTGTGTATCCCGGAGTTTTTGAAATAACTGGCACGCGCTGGTATTGACGCAATGGTAGTTTTGAAATTAGTAGCAACCCCTTCCATACACCACCATGCCAAAGTCATTTGATAAAGGCATCACGCCAATACGGAGCGAAACCTGTACCTCTCGTTCCAAAGCCTCTGTCGCATAAGATATCAACAACCCAAATCAGATAAATACAGAGTACAAAATTTATTCATTTCCACTTTAACGGTTAAGATTATTTGAATACCTTAGTTGAGAAGCACAATTGTAAATAACCAAAACAGAGAACTCATTTCATGATGCAGAGATATTGTTGAAGTATGGGTGCCCTCTTGCTTTTATAAAAAGTCTAAAAGTGGCCTGTTCCTGATCTGATGATCGACATAAATCTTGAATTTGTAACATTCAGTATTTTGAAGAGTGAAGTGGAGATATAATTTAATAGAAACACTTATACCAAGAATTAAAAAATGCCCTACAACATTCGAAATTTTCTTCCAAAATTTCTGTACGTTGGATTTCCAAATAGATTAACAAAGGTTATATCTCAATCAGGCAAAATAAATTTTGAAAATATTATTGAAATTCAATTAATTTACTGCGAGAATGATTAGTTTGTAATTTAAATGTAGGGGTGCATGAGCAGCAACAAGTATTATGACTCGTGCTATAACAAAAATTACCGTAGGTTACACGTTGTTAACTCTTTAGTATAAATCAGAAAATGTCATAACACAAAAAAGAGGTACACCTGTGACAACAATGTAAAAACTAAAGAAACACTCAATGAAAATTAACTAAAAAAACTGGCAAATGATCAGTAATGAGGCATCGAATGAAATGTCAAATAAGATTAGATTTTGAAAGCAAACTGCTGCTATGAATCTAACAATATTGGCAGTTTTCCTGACTCAAACAATTAACAAGAACAACCAGATAAAAGGTCTCAAAGTCAATTGTTTTATCACAGAACTGAAACAGAAAGATTGTAGAACAAGGTATAATTTTGCAGTAAATGCTTCTAAATGCCAGTTGTCACTTGCCAGTTAACCAGTATTGGCATTAACTTACATATATCCATGCATGAGAAAATATCATCCAATAGTGAAAAACTTTGATAGATGCACATATGAAAGAAAAAACAGAGGAATAAATTTTAAATATAGCAGTTATGATATTCAGTATTATTCTCATGAAAAACATGCAAGCGTATTTAGCGAAAAACCAATGATTTGGAAAAACCTTTACAGACTTTGTTTACAATTCTTTCAAAAGCATGACACAATTCTTTGGGTTGCTAACTGGTATGGGCAACAGGTTAGCATTGCCAAGGTAAGACAGTTAAGTCATAATTCACCAAGCACAAAACGTGGACAAAACAATTAGATTTGGCTCTGCATTAAGCAAGTGAGGTCCTTGTGGCTGAATGCTGCTTTATGTTACACACACTGGTGCAAAGTAGTCTCAATGCCTTTTTAAATGAGGTGCAGAGACATATTCAGTCATCTGGAAGAGTTGGATACAACTTCTCATATGGCGATTCACTGCCTGGTGAGATAGGATTTATGATCGTAGAGACAGGAACATCAGACGTGGGCCGCATAGGAACCTTGGATTGATTCACTGAATCAGGAAATCGATGATGGAAGCGCTGTAGTCGGATAAACTTGACTGTAACTAAACGACCATCAAACCATGCACCGTGCAGCGCTTGGAAAGCTCTTCCTGCACCTTGGTTTGATGCACAAAGCATGTAGACAAGACCCTGTTTAGACAGAAAATATATAGTGTCAATAAAAAATGATTGGTACATCCAAACTGATGCCAAAATTGCTGCAGAGGAGTTGAAGTAGTAGCTTAAATGATAACAGTAGCATCAAAAAAGAGCAGAAATAAAAGTGCCATGTGTCATTTTTATAAAAGATTTAGGGCATGGGCTAGCGAATTACTCCTACAGAAATAATCAATCAAAAATTTGAAATGCTGTGATTATATAAGATGTACACGATCAAAAAGCAAATTTCAGCACACAAAGCAGGTGCTTCAAATCCATAATTGCTCGACATTAAAATGATAGAAAACAAGCAAGAAGGCCGCACCAGTTAATTTGTGTAAATGACTTGTCATATTTTGTCACAAATTGCTTTTAACAAATGTGATCCTCTAAACATGTATCCAAAAATATAAGAAACAGTGAAACAAATACAAACTTCATTGGAGTCTTTTTCAACACATATTCTCAGAATCTCATTATTTCCTTGGCATTTTTCTAATATAGAATCCTGAATCTGTTCAACCCAATTCTTACTCACTTCCCTGGAAAAATTGAAAAAATATTCAAGTCATTGATCGTTCTACATATTTTGAAACATAAATAATGTACTTTGCATCAATACCAAACACAATAGACAGACAAATGATGGCGCTCCTGATGTATGTGTACCAATATGGAGGTAACTAATTTTGTTCGCCTATTTTACAACAAGTTTTGTAAATGGACTGAAACCTATGGGCAGGGGGTTTATTCACTTGGCTAACACAGACAGTCCCTGAACTCATGATATAACTGAAATAGGGAAAATCGGAATAAAATTATGGCCCTACACTAACCTGGTACACATACTACGGGGGTACCCACATGATAATTATGAAACTACAAATTAAAGCTTTTATCTGATTATTCATTCATGCAGTATAATTTGCAATAATAGAAAATGTAAATATCCTCCGATTAACAATCAAGTATCAAAATCAACATTGGCTCAAACTTTTACAGTTGAAATTCATGGCACAGTTAATTTTATGACAGTCTTTATTTTGATATTCTGAACCATTACGTCGCATCAACATCCCTAAGTCATGCCAACCAACACAAACCAAAGCCATAACTCACATGTCCGGGTCAAACATGTTCCTGATTTTAAGGCAAGGTGTCGGACAAATCATTGGGCGATTTATTGCTTTGATATCAAATGCTTCACCTTGCCAAACACGTGATGTAGGAGTGTGACGCTTTGCTGGAGAAGAGGCCTGATGAATAGACATAGAAATGATTAATGGAGAGTATTGTGATATTTTTAGCAAAAATTTGTTATATTTTATAATAGATCAACCACGCTTTGAATGGTAATGTCTATTGAATTGATGGTAAGAGACGAGATACTGGTCTGGGATGGATATATAAACATTAATCTTTCAGATCAGTGTTTTTCAACCTTTTTCCAGCCAACGCACAGTTTTTTCAGTGAAAAAATCTCGCGGCACACCACCAGCTGAAAATATGGGAAAAAGACCTAATATTCACAATATAAGATTTTTAACATTGAAGAAAGATGTTGAATAGGACATCCTGAATAGTAACCAAATAAAAACAAAGACAAAAAAAAATCGCCACCAAATGCTGCCACGGTCTGATATAGAACAGTACTACATGATTACTCTGCCGGGCGCTACACCGCATAGACACACAACTTGGAGAATTTCCCACGGCACCCCTGACAATATTTAACGGCACACCGGTGTGCCGCGGCACCCCGGTTGAAAAACACTGTCTTAGATGATAACCTTATAAGGAATAAAGTAATGCAAAGTACCTGAATCCAGCGCCACACCAAATAATCTTCTCCAGATATTCTTTGATTTTCTACCCGAATACGAGTCTCACTGGCCGACAAAAACATTTTTGCTCTTTCCCATACTCTGGCCATCTTTTTTCTGTGTACACAATAAATAAAAACTTAAATTTATAAGAACATTTTTCATTTTTTCTCCCCAACTTAAAATCAATTTTTTACCTGTCTTTCGGAGGTATAATCATATCTCGAACATGAACAATAGGAAGAAATGGTTGAATTCCTTCATTGTTTTCACTCATATCATACTGCTTTCTTAAAACCTCTAAAATGTAAACAAAAAAAAAATATAGAAGAAAATTTCAGAATCCAATAGAATCAAAAACACAAAAGATATGATAATCATACTTTGAACACAACATCAATCGAACAACAGCAAATGTATCAGAATGTTCTGCCTAGTATTGAGCGTCAAGATAAGATATGGTACTACAACCATGCTGTTATTTGAAACAAATAATTGGTAAACTATTCCCATGATTGACTAAGAGAGATAAACAGACAAAAATTTATCTTTTTTCCCCCAGAAATTACTAGGAAAAATCATATATTATTAAAGCGAGTTTCTGATGAGTTATTGACCTACATTGTTTTATTTCAAAATGCAAAGTACCCACCAAGTATCTTTTGTACCATTGTATACATCTGCTCCCTTTCCTCTCGCTGTTTTTCAATTCTGTACCGACGATAAACCAATCCCAGCCATATCAAGATCCCAACTATTTAACAAGAATAAAAAAAACATGAATATATAAAGTAGATTGCGAATGTCATAAAATAAAGTTGACATTATTATGAAGACTGGCTGTCATTCTGAATTGTGGGTGCTCCAGAAGTGTGTATACCAATTTGGAAGTAACTGATTTGTTCGCCTACTTTACATCAAGTTGTGTAAAGGGACTAAAACCTATGGGCAGGCGGCAGGGAGTATATTCACTTGGCTAACACAGACAGTCTCCGAACTCGTGATAGAACTAAATAAGGAAAATCAGAATCAAATTATGACCTAACCCTAACCTGGTACACACACTACAGGAGTACCGAATTGTGATATAAACATAGAATCAATGTCAGTATGAAGTTAGTCTATAACTTGATAATTCCAAATTCCAGTCTATTCATTAGCAACAACAAAAATTGGTTTGGGCTGGAACAAACCTTCAGACATAGTCAATATAAATCTGTGCCTTCACTGCTTAATTGATTGATTTGAAATGGATTCAGTTTGGAAAAAAAATAATTACCTGCTGTAGTGAGAATAATTCTGAAGAGAACTTTCTGCAAAGCTCTGGTGAATCTACACCATCCACTTAACAAAGGTTGATTGGAACCAACGTATATGGCCTTTTCTTGTCTAAAAATAGTTTAAAACAAACAATTATCATTAATTAAAAGAGAAGGTACTCCCCAAGTATGTGAACGAAGATGGCGGACACCGGAACATAGTACGTGTACCAGGTTAGGCGATAATTTCAGGTACAAATACTACGGGAGTCACTTGGCTAGTCCTCGAACTCGTAATATACCTTAAATAAGGAAAATTGGAATAAAATTATGTCCTACTACGTTCCGGTGTCCGCCATCTTGGTTCACATACTACGGGAGTACCAAAGAGAATGCTCATGCTTTTACACGATAAATAATAAAACCAACTTACTTGCTCGGATCTTCGATTTTAATTTTATTCAGGTCATAAAACTGAATCCCCCATTCTGGTGTTTCAATGAATGTCTTCGATGCTTGAATATAAGACAAGTTCCTTTTTCCTTGCTGAATAAATAAAATAAATATTTGGTGGCTAGGAAATATACTGTTTATTGCATTTAAAGAATATACTCTATTAAGAAACGAGAATTTCGAAAGTGCATTTCAAATCAACACGATGAGCCAACCGCCAATACGCTATGAATTGACACTGAATTTTTCTGAGACTGATTGACAATTTAATATATTGATAAAAGTAAGAATATATTTAAATGACCATACCTTAATATTCAGATCTAATAACACTTCAACAATGGGAAGATGATTTTTCGTTGAAGTGCTTGTTCCACATTCTTTTTCCCCTGCAAGAAATGGCACAGATAAGGAAACTAACCCAAATGTAGATGCTATAGATCTTATTTTCAAAATTCCAAATTTTGTATTAAAGCGATGGCTTGGTTTCAATATTTTTCATTCAATGTCAATATTGAAGGAATATAAAACCTTAATCCAAAAACTGGGATTAAAAATATGTTTCCTCAAATTCTTATCTAGTTTTTGACAGTTCTGTTCCCGCTGTGCTCTTAGTAATCTTCCATAACTGGTTATGGTCAATGTTTTTATGGATCAATAAATAGGATAATTGAATATTATAACCAATTCAGTGCTAAACTACATAGGGAGAATGACCCATTATTAATGTAAACATGGCAGAGTAACTTCAATTCACATAGTTGAAACTTTAGGTTAAAAATTTTACTCTGAATGCTGCTGGAACACAAAACCATATTTTTAGACAGAAAGCTACTTATCCACCTAAATCGAATTAAACTTCTGGACTAATTATGCATGTCTTTGGCTGCACTGCAATGAATATATTTGCTCCAGTAAAAGTCTATAATCAGATTCCAATACTTATAGCATATAAATACCAATTGAAACCTAATCATATGTTATAGTCCAGACAAAACATAGTCCTAGTAAAGGTCAAAGGTACATTTAACCGGCGATATCTTACCACAAGTTATATCAGGCCTAATTTGACAACCACAATTTCATTGGAATGACGAAGTCTATACTATTTCAACTATTTCCAAAAAAGCAAAGATAAATAATTTTTATTCTGTAGTATGTAAAATGTAATGGATAAGGATTGACCACATCGCATGTATAAGTTGCATTTTTTTCTCGGTCTATGTCTGGACTGAACCCACATAACAGTCAAATGGAACTGATGGAAATATAACAGCGATATGTACTCAATCTATGTTTCGGGCTTCTTATTAATGATGTACCGATGGTGGATATGCAATTATATTATAACCATGATTTTAGTGATACTTTTTTTTTCCAATTTATCCCCAAGAATATTTTTTGATCTGATTATTAAATACACAAGAAATGATAAATAAATAAAAAAAGCAAATTTGGCATTTTCCCCATATTCACACTTTGAAATAGATTATTCAGCCAATATTTGCATATAAACCAAAGCAAGTGTAATTTGTACACAATGATTCAAACATAAAAAAAATGTCAAGTGATATTATATGTCTGGGCTATTTATAGTCAAAATAGTCCCACTGTCTACACAATGTCTGGTTGAGCCTTATTAATGAGAAGCTATTAGGAAAATTGAAAAATTACAGCGTTATTTCAAAGTGATGTTTTTAAATATTCTGACTGATCTCAGACTTACACAATTAAAATATCCAAAGAATTCAGATATGTGTAATTCGGTGATGGAATGAAATGCAATTTTCTTGTATTCTAGTAATCTGATTTGCGCTGTTGTTTAATATTTGTAAAATGACACAGCAAAATTCAAGAACATCAATATTGATCTGAAATAACTTCCATATTATCAACGATAGTGAGCTAACCTTTCTTTAAAATTACAAATGTGAAATGTGTACCAAATAGAAATTAGCTATTTTGAGTAGTAGCAACTTTTTTTTTTTTTTCAAATTGAGTCAACGAAATCTACCGTAATTATTATAGCTGTGAAATATTTATTAGGACTTTTTTTCACAGAATTTTCTTGAAAAAATATAAAATAGTAGCATATGAGATAAATCAACACAATTTTACTATTCATTAAGAGACTAAACAAGCAACTAAGGAGGTAACTAATTTTATTCGCTCACTTTACATCAAGTTGAGTAACGGGACGAAAGCCTATGGGCAGGGGAGGGGGGTATTATATTCACTTGGCTAACACTGCCAATCCCCAAACTCGTAATAGAACTAAATTAAGGAAAATCGAAATAAAATTGTGGCCTTACCCTAACCTGCTACATACACTACGGGAGTACCTAAAATTGTATAGTTCACAATTCTGAATCAACAAATAAAATAATTTCATGTATATTAAACATAAATTAGTCTTAGTTTGAAACAGGTTTTAATAATCATGCCAATTATGCCCTTATGTGTTACCTATCATAGCACAACTATGATAATCATAATTCATAAGATAAGAATAGTAAGGAGACAAACCTGCAAACGTTCCGACGTGATCCCAGATCATACTAGCAATGTGACGCCATTCTCCATCAATTTCCTGAAACAGGTTATTTTCATACTTAACCAAAAAGTGGAACACTGCAGCAACAGTTGTGCAGAAAAGGGAAATTAAACAAGAATGAAAAGAATTTCAAATGCCATACAATAGTGACTCATCAAGTGAGAGCAATTAATTAGGATTTAATTTCACTAACAGACAAAACATAACAACTTCGATTACTAGATAATCTTCTGTAAATTAAAACAACACAAAATAAAATTTTGCACACAAAAGCAAAGCAATATTATGTCATCCCCTTTCAGAGCATGTCTCAGTCCCAATATCCAAATTACTACTTTAACGCTATAGGCTAATAAGATAAATGAAAATAAACAGTATTTGAATAACATACCATAGTTGATTTGCCTTCTATTGCGGGTCCTGAAAGGAAAATTGAATATGCTAAAAATTGCTGCTGTAGACAGTAAAAAAATTGGAAGTCATCCAATCATAAATTCATATAAATCTAGGTACTCCCGTAGTGTGTGTACTAGGTTAGAGTGGGCCATAATTTTGGCCGATTTCCCTCATTTTAGTTCTATTACGAGTTCGGGGACTGTCTGTATTAGACGAGTGAATATACCAATAGGCCCATAAGCTCATAGGCTTCAGTCCCTTACACAACTGGATGTAAAGTAGGCGAACAAAATTGGTTATCTCCATATTGGTACATACACTTCTGGAGTGCCTAAATCTAAACAGAGGACTTCCTTCAACTTATTTAGAAACAAGTTTTCAGTCGTAGATTGAAAGTCAGTCTAAATTGAAACTGAGAATAGTCTGATAAACGATTGTAGTCGCAATCATCAGTCGGATTCTGCATCATTCCACACAATGTCTTATTTTTCTCGGAAAACTTGTAAATCAGTGTAGAGGAAACTGCGGAATGTGAATATTAAAAAAACCGCATCAACAAACTATCAACTTACTTGAACTAAGACTCGGATCGTACTTCATTGTTGCATAGAGAAGTCCAAGCACAACAAAGAAAATACAAGTTCCAATCGGCAAAAAACTGGAAAAATTCACTGTCCATGGTTGTGTCTGTACAGCATCCTCATCCCCATCATCAGCGCTGAATAATCCTGCATTATGTCTGTTTTGTGTCACCTGAGTGACAATTTTGGATGCAAAGTTAGGAATACCGTTACCAAATAGTTTTTTAGGATTAGTTTGGGCATTCTGATCAGCGCGGAACGAGCTGTGGCCAGTAGCATAACTACGATGTGTTAATACGCCTGGACAATGTTTTTCTTCCTCCTTTTTCCACGCTTCGATTTCAGCTCTGAACTTTTCAAGTCTATCATTTCCGCGTCCTGAATTTCTTGTAGTATCTGCAGATGGAGAATGAGCGAGGCTTGGGGTTGTATTGGTTTCGGTAGATTCCATAGCTACCCAACTATCCATACTACTGCGATCAGAGTCCTCGTCAGAATCATCAGAATATTTCTCTGGTTTCGGTAAGGAACCGGTTGAACGGCGTTTTGGTGATAACGATGCAGATTTCCTGGAGTTTGCAAGAGCTTTTATTCGTTTGTGAACAGGAGTCAGTGGTTTTATTTCAAGTTCTTTTGAAATAGCATAACTTCTGTTTGTTTCTTGCCTTGTGGATCTTGTGCTTCCACCTCTACTTGCCCTTTTCACTGGAATATAATTTTGCAACTTTTAGCAATAGAAACTAAACAACAATCTCATACCACCATAAAATTATAATTTTATGTATAAGTTTTTGTTAAACAATAGTATTATACATATGACACACTTTTTCAGATATAAACTTTATTAGAAGATCAACTGTATGTTTTATTATAATCGGCCAATTATGTTGTTCAAGACCAGAATAAGGAGATTTTTGTTGGCAAATAGTTTTGGTTTGCTACCAATATTATAATAAACTCCTTATTTATTTCTTATTTGTCTTAATTAACCGACACTCAACAATTTCTTGGCACACAAGTGATGACATGCAACTGCAAGTTTGCAACACTAATTGTGAGAGCGATATTGCAAAACTATCAAAACTCTTTTGAAGATTCATAATCTCACCAACCTTTTTCAGTTTTATTTGAAAATTTATAACTTCTTTTGGTGTTATTATTTACTACAATATCTAGAAAATCTCCATCTGAGTATGCTAAATAACCTTGTATTTATTAAAGAGCAAATTTTGCAACCCAATTAGAAGCACATTGCAGCAGTTGATCCTAAAATATTGGCATAAGTGAACTAAGAATGTATATAATTTATTTTTACCATTTTCATCTTCATTCTCATCAGTGCTATATCCAAGAGTACTTTGACTGTGACTTCGTGAATTTCTAGGATTTCTCGAAGCCCTCAATATGGGAGAAGATGATCTTTCTCTTTTATCTGTTGCTTTGGCTGTTTTTCTTGATTTCCCGAGACTGCTGTTGACTTTTATTGCTGGTTTGCTCCCCTGTTAGAAAAAAAGCATACATCAACATATTGTCATTTTGTTATATGATGAAGCAGGCGCAAATGACAACACCATACTTCTGAACTACAATACTAACAATTCTGATTGCTTCGCATTATTCTAATAAAGTAAATAATAAAAACAAAAAAAATGATATCACATTACTCAATTTCAAAATTACTCTCTGTTTAGGTCACTGTTTCACCCCACATTAAAAGACATAATTATAACAGAGCGCAAACCCCTTCTTTACGAGACAGTCTGAACCTCCACATCGACAAACCGGCACTGCGCATAAAAACTAGACGAAAGCGCAATCTAAAAACTTAACCATTGGATTCCTCGTAAAAAAATAATCCGATTTACCGAAGGAAGAAACTACCTTAGCATTCAAGAGTTTTTAGGAAATAATCACAATTTTGGTCATGTGACATCCGACGCGAGTGATTTAAATTATTATCAAGACATGTATGGCACGATCTTGAGCATCTGCCGTGATGCCAGATGCCCTCGTTTCCGAGTCAAAACGAGTGTTTGTTTTATGGATACTGACTAAAATTATGTACTTTGAAAAAATGGAAAATGGGTGTAATAAGTTATAGTTATGACTTTTGAAAATATATTGAATTAGTTAATAAATATAGTCAAATTAATCAAGTTATCACACCCATTTCCCCCTAATTTCAGAAGTTCCAAATGTATGGTACTAGTACCAATTTAATTTTGAATGAAACTAATAGACTCAAGTGCATTTATCGGATATTAACCTGGGGTAAACTAGTATGACCAATATTGTAATATTTTTTATTTTGTGGTCTTTCATTGGTGATAATTTCCTAAATATGCCTAAATATACGCCGAGCACAGCCCATGTGGTGATCAAAAGCAGGACTCCCCCTAATACAGTAATACTACATTTTAAACCGCATCAGTTACATTTAATTTCACTACATCTAGCTAATCTTTTTTACTTATCTAGTTATTATGCCAACTTTTTCTTTTTTCCCGAAGTGCCAAAAAATGCGTACTTTCAGTCCGTCCCTTTTTCCTGTCATTACAGTATTAGTATTTTGGAGTTTAAAATAAATGATTTTATATATTCCATAATTCGTCATAATCCTGTAATCCAGAAACTCCATAATTCAGTATAATTTTACTAAATTGCTTTTAGACAGATATGGTGTAGTTTAGTCAGTCAATAATTACAGGTATCCGTACTAGGTACTGTAACTTTACCGTACCTGCTCTTTTTGAAGTTTTTCCAGACGTTTCACTAAAACTTTTCTTGTAGTGTCGGTTACGGGTCCAACGTCCACGCCATATCTCCCAAGTTCCGTTCGTAAATCTTCATCACTGATAACCATTATTGTCACATTAGACCGAAGGAAACAATACTAGGCAAGACACAGACAACCGCACAAGCAACAAATGCAACCGACAATTCACAGTAGTGCAAAACAGGCAGTAGACAATTCTCACCCGCCTTCGCAAAATCCTCCCGGCCCGACAGCAGTGTACAGAGTTACCATCCGGAACCAGCAACTCAAAATTAACCGACGGTTGCGCCGTCCGAAATAATTTAGTTCTTGCGTGTTCCTGAACGAGATTTGCGCCACAAAAATAGGGAAATGTATGTTAACCAACAAAACAGGTCGAATATGACATATAATCACTGCCAAACAATTCGCATCTTTTTACCTGTTGACTGTAGACATTCAATTTTTGCTCGCCATAATTGAAAAATAAATATAAGTTTTTGACGATGAAGAAATGTTGCGTACTAATCACACATTATGTTCCGATTTTTGTACGTGCGTTAAAAACAGAGTACTTTGGGATGAACTATCGGGTCGCATAGAACTCAAACAACATTTAAGAAATAATAATCAAAGAAGTAGCCTTCTGACCATCTATGACTTCGTCCGTCTTCAAATACAAAATCGGTTGGTCTGTTAGATTCAGATATTAGATATAGAGAAAGCATTTTTTCATAACAACAAAACCCCAAATAAAAAAAGAACAGAAGTTTTGCAAAAAGATACTATCTTACAAATCCTCCGAATGCCTGGATGATGCTACATTAGCTGCAGAATAACGAACACAGTTATCTAAAATGTTTGGATGATAGATTTCAATCTCTAGCTATTAAAATAATTTGCAAAATTCCAATTTCAACCTTGTAAATAAAACTCTTTAACGACCAAAAGAAATTTTAGCCGAACGCACAATGCCCTGACCAAGTGAGCTTACAAGTATTAGGCTACAATGAAAATTGCTACAAATTTGATATGAATCGCGTTTCTTGAATAACGAATCATGATAATTTGATGTAGCCTAGTGTGAACGAAGCTTCCAGGCAACAACTGCAAAAAGATGCGGGTCTTCTGCTTGGCAAGTTCGAATCTTTTCCTCCGTGTAGGTGTTCATCCAGTTACAGCCCGTTTATAACACAGACAAGTCAGAGTTGAAAAGAGGCGCTCTCAAACAGTATATCAGGTTCCAGTGAATTAGACACACGGTCTGAGCAGACGCTTACAGCGTCCGGATTGACAAGATAACCCATCTGCATTACCATGTTTAGTCCCTGCGCGATGTTCGATACCGAACAGTGTAGAAATTCAATGAGCCACCTTTACTTCTGGTTCTCGAAAATTTAAAAGCCACTTTAGGGCAGCATGATCAGTACGAATCAATTTCACGTCATTTCGAGTCAAACGTTTCAACGGCGATGCTATGGTGGCGTAACCAGGTACATACATATCGCCTATACTAGTTGACAGTACCCAGGAAAATTCTAAACATTGGTTCTCAAACTGGGGTCCGCGGTCGCTTAGGGGGTCCGCAAAGCAATTTTAGGGGGACCGCAAGACAACTTTAACATCGCACTTTGATTTGAAGTAAAATTTTGATGTCATGCTTTTACAGTGTTCATCCAAAGTACGACACGCTCTGATTGTAAATTTTCTCGGGGTAATTTAAAAAATGCCCCCCCCCCCTGCCATAAAAAATAAATTTAGATATAACGATTTGTGTGTGAAACTGGGTTTTGCTGTGATAAGTTCTGGAGGAAAAGAAAAACCACAGTGGCATCGACCTATCACGATGTCGCAAAGTTGGCACTAAAAATGCTCATTCCATTGGCAACAACTTACAATATGCAGTAGCTTTTCCTACGTTAATCACTATTATAACAAAATGTTGAAACAGAATGGACGTGAGACACGATATGAGAGTTGCATTATCCAAAACAGAACCCAAGGTAGAAGAACTAGTGAGAACCAAGATGGCGCACCCATCTTATTAAACTGTTTTAATGTCATTCAATAGATGAATGCTTGATATACCACGTTGCTATTTGCTTTCCTTTTTTAGTGGACCGCGAGTCACCAGAAAAATTGCAAGGGGACCGTTATGCATAATTTTTCAAAAAGTTTGAGAACCACTGAATCTAACATCTGACATACCCCGAGGCCTTTTTCATTAGAATATCGCTGCTACGTTGTGAGGATCACAGCGTACTCCTTCTGAAGATTCGTAACTGATCGACGAAACAACTTGCATTTAGTCAGCCTAAGCTTCAAACCAGCACCACGAGATCGAATGAAAACTCGTAAACGTCTCCAAGAGGCGTCGAAATCTGATACATGAAATAAAACATCATCCAAATAACAGGATCAAACAGCTTTTCCCAATTACTCCGCCCAACACCCATCCGCTTGAAGGTTACGAGCGCATTGCACATACCAAACGGCATGGCTACAAATTGGTAGTGACCTACCTTTCCTGGAGAGACTGAAAGCAGTAATCACTCTGTCAGACCCGTCAGACCTTTCAGAACTTCTACCTTCTATTATTTGCTGACCAAGTCAAGTGTCAAGAACCAGCTTGATCCGCTAGGCCGCAGGGGTCTCCAAACTACGGCCCGTGGACTAGATACGGCCCGTGACGTTCTTTTATCTGGCCCGCAATAAGGGCCCGTTCACATATGTTCACACTATTGCGTTGACGCACCTTAAAACCTTGTTTATTTAACTTAATCGTGCGTTGCTGCGTTAACGCATTGCGTCAACGCAATTGCGTCAACGCAGTGCGTTGTTGGAAGACAATTCTTTTTGCGTTGACGCTGCGTTGCCCGCCGTTTTTGAATTCTGATTTGGTGCTTTCGCCATTTTCGTCGTATGACTTCGGTACCGGTACCGGTATGTCCGGGAGTGATGATGGGTTGACAGTACGGTATTCATTGCACAGTTGGATGTATACAAGTTTATCCATACAACCAGAGTGGCGATACCGTTCGGTACCGTACGTGGTTCGTAAACTTACTTTGTACAGTGGACTAGATTATGCGCATAAACTAAAAGGGATCGTACGGTGAGTACCGGTACCGGTACCGGTCGGTAGAGTCTGACAATGGGCAGGTCCCAGGTTTAAGGTAAAGTACAGGCTACTGCTGTACCGTACTGTACCGGTATGCTGTGTATTCACATGTGATATTTATTTTTCAGATTTGTCTTTAGAATACCGGTACCTATCCTTCATTAATTCAATCTTGTTTATACCATGAGTCTATCAAATCAGCAAAAACTTGGAATCATGCTATGGGCAAAGCGCCGCCGTGAAAGAGAAAACAATACCTGTACCGGTACACGAAATTCAAGGCGATGGTGGGTGCACCCCATCTTGAGAAAACGAGAGGAAGCTGGTGAGTCTTTGAACAAGCTTGTCAAAATTGTAACAGCTTGTAAGTAAGGTGACATATTTTCTATTCAAATTCATGCTGCCCTAAGAGGCACAGGAGCAATGTTCTAAATAGACATTTGGTACTGTGGTAAGTGATTTAAATTTTCTATGTTTGTCTGCCTGTTAGTTTGTCATACTGTGTACTGTCTGACTGTCATAGCCTATCAATATGTATGAGTTAATGTCATTGTTTTAATATGTCTGTCTATTTGTTGCACTCAGGAAATTGTTGACAGATACTGGAATATTATCAGATAAGTATATCGATTGCTGTATTTTATGCATATGTTATTATGACAGATATTTGCTTTTTTAAATTTTTTCAACAGGGGTGAGCTAATATTTCATGTGTTTGTCAAGAAGATGTCTAGTTCTTTTGTGTTATTATCTGTCATGGTATGTGTACTCTTTCTGTCCTTAGGTGTTATTGGTTTGTGTGAATTTTATTGTTTTTTGTAGTATTTTATCTAATGTGCGTAGATATAATCCAGCTGTTCTTATTAACAAATTTAAAGTATAACTAATTGTGAAATAAAGCAGGTAATAAAAGGATTTTCTCCATTTCTTTGAGTTAAGTTAATATTCGACAAATTCAGCTTGGCTAAATTGGTAATTTTTTCTGAACTAAAACAGGTGAATTTCATGCACTGGTACAGGAATTACGGTTGCAGCGACCTGCATATTTCAAGGAATATTTTAGAATGTCGACAAAAGAGTTTGACAAGTTACTTGGAATTGTTGGTCCAAAAATAGAAAAATTAACGACGACTTACAGAAGGCCAATTTCCGCTGCAGAGCGATTGGCTGTAACATTGAGGCAAGTTAATGATTTTATTAAAATTCGTCTATTTTTATTCTATGTTGTGCAATTTGATTTTGTGACTTTTTTCATTAATATGATAAATTTTGTCACTTTTAGATTCTTGGCAACTGGAGACTCTTATCGGACCATTGCCAATAGTTATCGTTTAGGGATTTCCACCGTTTCCCTCATTGTACCAGATACATGCAGGTATGATTTTCAAATATAATTTTGATCTTTTGTATTTTTGATAAATCCCAATCTTGATATCATGGCATTTCGTTTCGCTTGATTATCGAAATGTTCTTTTTTGTTTTTATTGATTTTGTCATAATTTTATATACATTGACTTTTATAGAGCCATTTGGGACACACTCCAACCAATGGTTTTGCAATGCCCATCCACCCAAGCTGCATGGACAACAATTGGGAATGACTTTGAAGCGAGGTGGCAATTCCCGAATTGTTTAGGTGCCATTGATGGCAAACATGTCATCATTCAAGCCCCAAACAATTCGGGATCCATGTTTTTTAATTATAAAAAGACGCACAGCATTGTGTTGATGGCTGTGGTGGATGCAAAGTGAGAATAAGCAAATTATGACTTGTTATTGATTTTATTTGAATCCTTGACAAATGTTCATAATGTTTATCTTTTCACAGTTATAAATTTGTGGCAGTCGACGTTGGAGGGTATGGGAGGAGCAGTGATGGGGGTATATTTGCCGACTCCTGTTTTGGCAGAAGATTGGCCAATGGTACCCTCAATCTTCCTAATCCCACAAACAATTCTTCTCCCTAACCAACTCTATTAACTTCGCAACTTCCATTTTTCGGGTTTGGGTAATTAATAATTGGTTAGGTTTTCGATAGTTAAATTTATTTCGCAGATGACACGAAATTTCCCCGCCATTGTTACGTAACAAGTGGACCGTAGCACGCTGCGTTAACGCATT